TTTTATTGAAATTTTTCTCAGTTTTTGATAATTAAATGTAACCGGTATTGAATATAGAGTTACAAAACTGGCAAGATTCAATCTTGTATATATTATTCGAAAACATTTTTGTGAAGGATCAAATGAATGAATGTAATAAAACAAAATAACAAAATAATTGCTAAATACATATTTTATATGTTATGAAACGTTCGAAAGAATTGATAAAGCTATTGTCCTCATGAAACATTTTTTCATATTAAAGAATATGTGATGTTGACTAACTCGATATTGTTCCAGAATTAACTAAATATTAATGTTTAAATTGGAAAGAAGATTATTCAACTACTTTAATTCTTTACCCTCTGTTGGACCATTTTCGACCCATTCATAGAAACTATCTATTTAGAGTAATAATAAAGCATCGAATCGATATGATGGGTTTCAGAACATTGTGTAAAGCTTTTAATCAGTTACAAATTCAAAAACAAAATAAATTTCTTTTCATCATTCCTTTTTTAAGATTTATGAGTTGAAAAACAGTGTTTTCTCAAGAAACTGAAAAGGATCTGTTTCATTTAGTTACATAGACTGATTCTTCTGACATTTATAAGATTGATACATAATGCTATGAGGCCTTTCTTCTCAACGAGACTTGAACAAGAGGAAGGAGTGATTTCGGATTGGAATCAGAATCAATGATTCCATATATATAAAGAACATGAAGACCAACGAATTCCGATATGATACTGAAAACGGAACATCTGACTTGAATTCGAATATAATTTGCTTTTACAGATGTCTTATCATATATCATTTTCTGAAATGCCTTATTTTTCAAAAAGTAGTTCATAATAGTTAAGTTTTCAACTTCATACAGATAAAATAGTAGTATAACTGCGAAAAAGTCAAATGAACAATAAATTCAGTTTTTATGCCAATCACGACGAATGGATCATTTTAGATCCCTTCTGCATCTCCATAGTGAAATAACTTGACTCAAATTTAATTACATTGTTGTCATAATTAGCATCTTCAGAAACTATTCCTATAGTTGTCTCAACACCAAATCTTTTGGATAAGTGCTGGAAGTAAAGGATTAAGTAAAATTTAGCATCACAGTATAATAAAATTTCATTTTCAAGTCGTGTTTTATATTCAGAAAATCAAGAACGTGATAGATTTTGAAAATAATAAATGTTTCTATCTTGTGTAGAAGTGAACATGGCAATGTAGTATTACTATGACAGATAAAATTTTTTTCAGGTCATGTTTTGTCCAGTATGAAGATCGAAGAGATAATGTTCCTAATAAGAGTAAGTTCGCTCGTTCGAAATTCATATCTAAATTGAAATCGGTCCGATTCGGTAGAACTTTTTAAACTGATCGGTTATCACCGATTTTTCATCGAAAAATTTATTTCATCTGAAGACTTACTACCGGACTACTATTGAATCTGATTGCAAATAAAAGCTTATACCTCGATTTTTGATCATCAAAATTTAAATTTGTATTCTTTTTATTAAACACTATATGGGAATGATCTTGAATATACATTAGTGTCCGTTTTAAAATGAAAGAAGAGTGGTTATTTTTCGAATAACTCTTCAACGGAAAAAAATATCGATCTGCGATTTTCACTATTAGAAAGAGGCTCACATTCTACATCTTTCTATATGTTAGTTAACAAAACTATGTAGCTCATAAATTTGATGAGCAGTCACTGAAATTCAACGGAGCAACTGAAATGCTTTGAAAAATATAGAGAATTTCAATTATAAGGAATGAGTTAGATTCGTCTACTCAAGATCTACAACTCTACATAAACCAGAAATTTTTATTTTGTATCATTCAAAAGATATACACCCAACACTGATTGTCAAAAATGCTGGAAACAACCTTTTGTGACTATTTTTTCAAGGTTTTTAATTTTATGTTTATTAATTAACAGTTAGGTTTTCGATCATTCTTAATTGAACGAAACTGTTCATATTATAAGGAAGTCGTTCTTTGTCATGTAAAATCAATGCTAATCATATTATATTACACATTGAGTATTACTGTCGCAAACTATACTGATATAACATAATCCTATATGTTGAACATCTCTTCAGAATGATTGAAAACCTAACTGTTAATTCATAAACATAAAATTAAAAAAACTTGAAAAAATAGTCACAAAAGGTTGTTTCCAGCATTTTTAACAATCAGTGTTGGGTGTATATCTTTTGAATGATACAAAATAAAAATCTCTGGTCTATGTAGAGTTGTAGATCTTGAATAGACGAATCTAACCCACTTCTTATAATTAAAATTCTCTATATTTTTCAAAGCACTTTAGTTGCTCCGTTGAATTTCAGTGACTGCTCATCAAATTTATGAGCTACATAGTTTTGTTAACTAACATATAGAAGGATGAAAAATGTCAGCCTCTTTCTAATAGTGAAAACTGAGGATCGATAGCTTTTTTTTGTTCAAGAATTACTAGGAGAATAATCATCCTTCTTTTATTTTGAAACGGACATTAATTGCACTCAAATGACATCTTTTAGGAAAGACATACGATAAAACTTTTAGCGTTCCCTATGTGTTTTAAATATTTATATTTAGTCTTTTATCAAATATTCAAAATATATTTTATTTAAAGAAAACCGCCGGTTTTTTCCCGGTTTACCTTACATGAGAGAACTAATCAAATATCAAATAAAAAACATGTATCGATATATTTGATTTGAATATATATTTAAATAAGGTTCAATCATTATTTTATCTTTAGAAAATAATTTATATAGAATACTGAACAATAAATCATACAGAGCGTTTGTCAAAAAAAAAAATATTGAATATTTAATTTGTTCTCTTTTTAAAAATAAAATGAAGAAAAAATTGCTTTTTTTCTCTCCTTATCCTCCAAATATTCGAAGGACTTTAACAAAAAATATTATTATAATCATTAACAGGATCATTAACTCGAGGTTACAAGCTAGGCTTAATGAAAAAAGAAGTTAGGTATCATTTATTTATGTGTATTAAAGTAGTATGTTCCTTATCCACGTAAAAATCTTGTCTATATGATTGAAAATCAATGATGCGTTACAGTTGTGTGTCTTATATCATAAGTAAAAAGCTAAACGTCATTTAAACTAACTAATGACAAAATCTATGACATTGAAATATCTATTTCATTTGACGTTTTAAGGTAATTATTTTTCTTTGTGTTAAACTCAAAAATATTTTTACTAAAAACGAAACAAAAATAGGAACATTTTTTGATCTATTCACGGAATTATGTTATTCATTTATTCGATAAATCAAATAACTAGTTAATGAAAAAAAAATATTACATTGTGTTTTATTTCGAAATATTTCCGATAGTAATCATATGACTAATTATGATTTAAAAATTTTTCACATAATAATGATTAATAATTAGCTCAAAATAATTTAGAGAATAACTTTGACATAAATAGACATATATTATTTCATTATAATTACAGTTAGAATAAAGATAAATTCTCTTCATTTGATTTCTATTTCGATTAATTCATAATGGTCTTTTTTTTTTCTAAAAGTCACAAATAGATATAGAAAATATATAAGATGAATATTAATTAAATGAATTTCTACTTGATATGAGACAGAGAAAACTTGAACATTTAAAATTATTTTAAAAAAGGTTAAGAAAAACTAAAAGATATTTAAACACAATTGAATTATTATTTTGTAGAACTGATGTATATTTTCGAAGAAAATAATAAGTGTAAGTTTTAAGTTGAAGTCTTCCAGTTCCCCCCCCCCCCCTTTTCTTCTCAAGCAATCGAGGACAACCAGCATCAGACTCATTTCTCAGAGTTTCTGAGCAATGAAAAAAAAAACCTTGAACGACTGAAATACGTTTTCCATTATTTTAAATATTGAAGTGTTTGATTTTTGAGTAGACAAGAGTTTATATTCAAGATGTCAACAATGTTGGGTAGGTCATTCACGGTTTTATTATAGTTGTCATAGGATCAATATAAAAAATGTGAAATGATTAGAATATATAATAGTGTACGTTAAGACCTGTTGCTGTATGTACAATGGATATTTATAATGATTTTACTTGCCAGTTAAATCAATGGTTAAAGTAATATTAATGTTAAATTAAGAGAAACGAAATGCGAAAATGAAAAATAACTAGCAATAATGCAAAAAATATAGATTTTTTTTTCTCATTGAAATTTTTCAGTTTCTTTTCAAAGAATTTTTCTCGAAAGAGAAATAAATGTAAGCATAAAGTAATTGGTTTGAAGTCGAATTATTTTGTTTTCGTCTAGAATAGATAATGTGAACATCTATTTAAGTATTTATCTATGATATCTGATAGTGCAATCTCACTGCGTTACGTTTCATTCATACATGACACAGAAAAAAAACATATTTGACACGGTCTCTTCATTCAGATCGATGAATCTCATTTAGAAAACGAATATTATCTCTATTTACGTCTTTTTCTACCTTGCCATGTTGACATATAAACACATTAGAATGTGTTTAATATCGAGAAAATAATCGAATATTTATCTTTGACATATCATCTTTATATAATAGGAACATGAAATAAGAGAGCAAATTTTTTTAATATTCGACTCTTATAAAATTTATTGCTTTCATCAGTATTTGTAACTAACGTTCTATAAAATAGGAATATTAGAATTGATAATCGAATATTAATCATTTATGAATTTACGTTTAAAATAATGAATTCAATTTAAGTTGAAACAAAGATTTTCAAGATTGATTAAACAAGTTTTCTTGATAGATTGAATAAAAACTTATTTATACTAACCTTTGAAGTTTTATTTAAATTTTCAATGTAAATCCATCTATTCAAAAATTTTTCTTACAAATTTAAAAAAAAAACTTTTCTTTTTTTACTTCAAAACATTGAAATAGTTTGTATTTGTTTATATTGTTAAAATTTATTTTAAATTCAATTTTAGTTAATTAAAATTAACTAATAATTAAATAATGAATGAAAATAGACAACGAACAAACGACAATAAAGAAAATGAACGTGCAGATAGAATGGGTACACATGTTTATTCATCAAAAGATAATAGAAGTATGCATAAATCATTAAATGGAGAATTTATTCTTTATCAAATGTTACTTGAACAAATTTCTAATAAAAAACAAGAATTAACATTTAATAAAAATAGTCTTGTGGAATATTTTCAACCAGATGATAAAAATGATAAAAAAATAATGAAAGAATTTGATAAAGAATATAAATCAGAAAAAGCAATTTATTGGTATACTAGAGAAACTTGTATTTATAAAATATTAAATAAAGCATTAAGAACACAATGTATTGATGATATTATTCCATTTGGATCATTTATTAGAGATATGAATAAACAATTAGATGATGAACATAAATTATTTATTAAACAAAAACAAACACCAATTATACAAGTTTATCGAGGACAATTGATTAGTAAAGATGAAGTTATTCGTCTTAAATCAACTCAGAAAGAATTGATTTCAATGAATTCATTTTTATCAACAAGTACAAATAGAAAAAAAGCTTTAGAATTTGCAACAAGTAAACCACCACCTAATGATGAATTAACATCAATGTTATTAGAAATAGATGTTAATATAAATTATTTAAGTAAACCATATGCTGATATAAAACGTCTTAGTGCTATTCCAGAAGAAGAAGAAGTTCTGTTTACGGTATCTTCAATATTTCGTATTGAAAATATATCTTATGATGATAAAATAAATCTTTGGATGGCTAAACTAACATTATGTTCATTAGATGATCCAGATATAAAAAATTTTTTATCATCATTAAAACAAGAATTAAAAGGACAAAATGAATTTGTTTCACTTGGAAACTATTTTATTCACATGCTTAAATATGATCTTGCTCAAGAACATTTTCAAAAAATTTTAGATCAAAATTTAGTAAAAGAAGATATTGAACTTGCTCATACTTATTATGGACTTGCTCAAGCTAATTGTAAAAAAGAAGATTATCATTTAGCTATATCAAATCTTAATAAAGCATTAGATTATTTATTAAATAATTCATCACTTAATGATCATTCACTTGTATCATTATGTTATAATGATTTAGGTTCAATCTATGGTAAACAATCTAATTATGTAAATGCTTTACAATGTTTTGGTAAAGCTTTATCAACAAATAAAAATAATGATAATCTATCAAAAATTTATTCAGCTTCATCAGATGTTCATTTTAAAATGACAAATTATCATATGGCATTAGAAAATTTAGAAAAATCTCTTGAACATCAAACAAAAACTGACTATGCAATAATTGCAAATACATATATCAATATGGGCAAGATTTATATTGCAATTAATGAATTCGAAAAAGCATCACAAATATTTGATAAAGCAATTGAATATCAATTGAAAGAACTTCCGAATACTCATCCAGATGTTTCTTATACGTATAATGCAATTGGATTAATGTTTTTAGATAAAAATGATCATGAAAAAGCTTTAGAATATATTGAAAAAGCTCTTCATTTACAATTAGAATCATTACCAAATAATCATCCTGATTTTGCAGATACATATAGAAATTTTGCTAATATATATATGAAAAAAGAAAATTTAGATAGAGCTGTATTTTATTATGAAAAAGTCTTAGAAAATCAATTAAAAACATTATTATGGAATTATCCATCAGTAGTTGATACTTATCGATCTATTGGAAATATTCATTCGAAAAAACAAAATCATGATGAAGCATTAATTTATTTTCATAAAATACTTGATAGTCAATTAGAAAAAACACAATTAGACGATACATCAATAAGTGATACTTATCAAAATCTTGGAAATCTTTTACTAGAAAAAAATAATTTAGATGAAGCTTTACAATTTTATCTCAAAATACTTAATAATGAATTAAAAACAAAATTATATGAAGATTTTTCATTGATTCATATTTATAAAACCATTGCAGAAATTTATTATAAAAAACGTATTTTAGATCAATCATTAATTTATTATAACCGTTTACTTGATTGTTATTTTCGAAAAGAACCACTTGATCAATCAACTATTAATGAAATTTATACTTCTGTCGGAAAGGTTTATTTAAAAAAACGTCATTTTGATCAAACATTATTATTTTATCAAAAACAAAACAATAATCAACTCTTACATGACAAATCAATCAATAAAATTAAACTTATTGATAATATTTTTTTTGAAAAACGTCATTTGGAACAATCTTATCATTATTTTAAAAACTATCTTCGTGAACAATTGAAAACACATTCGGAAAAAGATCCAATATTAATTGATACATATTATATTTTAGCAAATATTTCTTTTGAAAAAGAAAATTTCGATAGAGCATTAAAATATTTTCTTCTCTCATTAAATAATGAATTAGAACGAAAAGCAATTTATGATTCATCATTACAAAATATATATAAAGCTATTGCTACTATTTATTTTGAAAAAGAAAATTACAATGAATCATTGATTTATTTTAATAAATTAATTGATTGTCAATTACAAAATAAATCAGTTAAACTTTCATCAATAAATGATACTTATACTATGATTGGAAAAATTTATTTAAAAAAAAATCATTTTCATCTACATGCAGATGATAATAAGAAGTTAAGAGAAAATAAATTTAACAAAAATTTATCAATGACAAGATCAAAAACGACAACAAAATCATATACAAATAATTTTCGACTTGAAAAACACCATTTAGATCAAGCATTATTTTATTTTCAGACCTTACTTAATAAACAAATTAACGATCAATTATTAGATGATCTTTATATTATTCTTGGTAATATTTGTTTGGAAAAACAAGATTTTAATCAAGCATTAACTTTTTTTCAAACTTTACTTAATAAACAACATGCACAAAATAATTTCGGAGATCCATCATTAGTTAATATATATTTAATTATAGGCGATATTTATGCACAAATATCTCGTATTGATCAAGCATTACAGCATTATAAACAAGGATTATCTATTTCTCGACGTATACCTACAGTAGATCAATCTATAGTTCACAATATTAAATCTAAAATACGTCATTTACCTGTTCCACAAATATAAAACTTCATGTATAGATTAATGATGTAACACGATGAACAATAGATATACATATATATATTTAATACATTCTTTCTATTAATAAATTCAAGTAGATAGATTTCCAACTAACAGATAACATTTACTTACATTTTTTATTTCTAAATTATTTATGTCTTCTTTTTTTTTATATATTGAATTAGTTCATTATTTTGCATATGGCTTCAACATTATCATTTTTTCTTCTATTTTTCTATTCTTTATTTTATTTAGTTTATTAGCAAAAATAAAAAAGCAAAATATAAATCAAAAGTCATTGTAAAATAATTTGATGAAATTTGACTAGATTATAATATAATTTTAAAAGGCTGGCTAAAGGAAATATGATATATTTATCATTTGTGAACGAAACTAGATTAATATACGAGTACAACTTTTCTTACATATGCATGTACTCGATCTACAAGTTGCAGTATTCTAATACATCTCTTATAGTTTAATAGAACGACCAATCAACTAGGTGATCAAGAATGTGAATATTAAACAGCAGCAATACAAACAGATATTCTCACATGTTTATGAATATTACTGTTACAAATTAAGTTTGTACCGTCATAAATTGTTACCTTTCACATTCGTACCTTTCCTGTACCTGACGACCTACTGCATACAATACTCTAAATGAAACTAGTGTATACATATACATTTTTATCAACTCAGATGAAAAAATCATATTAACATTCAACAAGATTTCTTATAAGTAAAATGAGTTTACAAGGCATCATGATGAGACCTTACGAAATCTTATTAACTTTTGACTTCAGGATTTCACAAAGTTCTTGAGACAAGATCGTGAAAACAAATCTTACATGATTTTTGTGAAACACAATCTAGAAGGAGTGTTAAAGTATATAGGGTAGAAATTTGGACCCACTGCTCTCCTCTCCTCCGCTTTCCTACAGAGCGTGGGGTGTGGGTGTGACTGATTGGAGAGCAAATCCACACCCATACCCTCCCAACGAAAAACGATAAAATATTTTAGGGAGCAAAGAAATGATTTTTTTGTCATTATTCTTCAAACTATTCATAAAATACTAGTTTGTGATCACCCATAAGCCAGTTTCTTTTATCCCTTCTCTAAGCCTAAGCATTTTCGTTTATTCTTATATGATTTCGCATTAGATTCATGTTTTCAACAAGATTCAATTGATGTACAATAACTGTATAAAAAATACGCATTTAAAAGTTTTACGCTGTCAACAAATCTTTGAACATTCATTCACTGAGACAGCTCTATTCGTTTTTAACCCTTTGAGGCCGGTGGGACATATTTGTCTCACCTACTTAGGGCATATCAAAAGTAGGGGCAGTGATACTTTAATACTGTATACTAATCTTTAGGAAACTTTCTTTCTATATAAGGTGATAGAGAAAAGAATGCTCTATTTTTCTATGCTATTTGATCATATTTCAAATAATATAATTTTGATAAGATCTGTTTTGTTCGCATGTGTCACCGTTCTATGAATGTTAGTGAGTGTTTTTTTTGGATAACTTTTGTTAGAAACAAGATAAAGAACTGCGGCTTTCACCGTTAGAAAGAGGAAATGAAGATCCATCGAATCGTACACTGTAGGTTTTTCTAATATTGATTTCTAAAGTATTTTTGTTCGATCTTCTAAGTGTCGGGAAAATAGTTTTTTTTTTTAATGAAAAAAAGGAAAAAGCACAAAAGTGACCTTTTTCACAGCTTTTCCTAGAAAATCGTATTGAAGGCTCGACTAAAATGCATATTATTTATCTCAGCCTTCCATAATTTGTAGATCTTCGATTAGTGGTTTGAATTAAATATTTGATAATTGAAAATTCACCGTAAACAACTTGAGGATGTGGGTGTGGGTGTGAGTATTCGTTTCCTGTATACCTGCACTCACACTCTTGACATCTTGAAGTTCGCCGTCGATTGATGGATCTACGAACTACTACTCACTTGCATTTTTGAGTTATTCAAATGAACAATGAAGTCTATTATATTTTTAAATCGAAAAAAATAAAATATCAATTCTTAGAAATTTGTAATGTGATTTTTACTTCATTATTCAATAAAATATTAAGAAAATTAATTTTAGACTTTAAAATATTTATGAATTCCACCATATTCAGTGATCATCATCAACCAAAATTCTTTTTTTTTTAGTTTAAATATAGTAGAAACGGTTTTGTTATTCACAGGCGTCAGTCTTAATTAAGATCCGTCTTGTTTGAAAATATTTTCAACAAATACATGGTTTTTTCCCTCTGCAGCCATAATTATCTCGTTCATCACATGCGAAAACAATAATTCCTGATGATGAATATTGCCAATCGTATCCCCCACCATTTGCAATAAGATCGTATATGCAACAACCATAATCAACAAAAGACATGTTAACTTGTTGTGGTACTTGTCAATTTTCTCCAGAAAAAACAATTGTATTGAAATTAGTACATCGCGTACCATTGAAGCATCCTGATGGCTGCACTTTAAACTCAATTTTGACTCGATCACCAAGTGAACGAACTAGCGGTGTTTGTAATTTTAATGTAAAATAATCTTGACTATTTGGAGTTATCACAAATTCACGTAAAGGATCTATAGTAAAACCTAAACATAAGCAGAATATAACAACACAAGTAATGCTTAAAAAAAAGGCAGCTATGAACTATAGTTTACCTGCGTTTGCATTTCCGCAATAACCAGGCCATTGAGCAGGTAAATCGAACAAATGTTCAGCTTGGGACGGAATACCATTTGTAAATGATAGATAAACTGTAGTTAGGTATCTATGGATAAATATGGAGTTATTTTTTTCTCATTAAAGGCATATAATATATACTTACTCATCATTATCGAAAGATTCAGGAGGAACAGGACGTGCTTGAATGGTTTTAACTGGCCTATCTTTTGTTTCGAAATAACTGAAACATGGAACTTTGCCAATACGAGAGTGTATTAAATCACATATTTCCGGTGAATCATATCTCTACAACAATGAAAATCTTTTTATTGCATGTTATTTACTTGCAAATATTTCAATATATTAATTTAAGCCGCAATGAATAAGTAGAATTCTAATGTTTCTCTCAAAAGTTCCTCAAAATGCAACATTCGTATTGAACTACATATATTAAAGAAGTACTTTCTTTCAGTTTTCAATTATAGGAAAACGTACCGTTGCATTTAGTTGAAGTTCTGGTATCCATTCTTCGCCCTTATTAATAAGATTTGGTGGTAACGGATACCATGGGTAAATTTGAATATAATTTTCTACGCCATGCAACCAACTGACTGGAAATGGGCCTATATCAATCATTGAATTTGTTCTATACCAACAATCGTTCTGAAAAAAATTGTTTGAAGAGAAAAACAAGAAAAATTGTCTTTTTACTTTTGTGAAGTACGGAAAATCAGGATTGAAATTAAACATTGTATAACCCTGCGAAGCTGGCTAGAAAAACGTTTCACGATTAATCTTTTTTTTTTCATAATGAATCATTTCCTACTTACTGAATCTGCTTCAGCACCTTTTGGTTTATATTGAAGCATCCAAGTTTCATTTTGTTGTGCTTGCGATCCTTGAATATCGAAACGAACTCTTAAATTTTTGTAATCATACAATAATTGTTTAACACCTGGAAATGGTGAATCCCAAGAACGTGATCCACTAATATTCAATATTGCTTGAAATTGTTTTGGAAAACCTGTTTGACTTAAACATTGATTAATCAAAATAAACAACAGTATCCGTAGCATCGTTTGTTTCATTTTTCAAACTTTTTGTAATTTATACACAATAGTATGAAAAAAATATCTTAGAAAATGACAAGAAAAGAATAAATTTTATGTATAAATACTTTCCTCTATCATCATTAACGCAGATATGCACCTTAAGCTATAACAAAAGTTGAATACGCGTAATTATTTTTCTTTTTCAAGACATTATCAATAGTCAACTTTGCATATCATAGACTGACTGATATTCTCATTTGAATAAGAAAGATTCATGATGATCTATGCAAAAAAAAAAATTAAGTGAAGGTGTGAGGAGAAAATATTTTTATCTTCAACTGATAGTACAAAGTCAATTTTTTGACACACTATTACACCTGACAGACAGTGTTTTAGAAACGGGAAAGAATCTTTTTCGTGGTGTAAGTAAGTGTAAGTTACAATTGCTTATTGCCACACGAAGGCATGAATCAGTGGTTTTAAATATCCTTCTGCTCCTACAACATAAGTTTCACTCTCGAATAAGAAATCATCGTCTCAATCTTGTTCATTTCTTGAGAGTCTCGAAGAATCTTTTAGAATCCGTCCAAGATTTGCACATCTTTGGGTCCCAACATGGGTGTGCATGTGGGAGTGTGAATGTAGGTGTGGGCATTCATTTCCTGTATACCCACATCCACACCCTCCAAAGCAGCGATGACCATGCCAATAATCTACATAGGAACTGCCTAATTATCGAGCACATCAAACTCATTTGTACACATCGGATATTCTAACGTCGAGTGCTATGGAGTTAATAGTTCAGATTTGCATACGCAACACTCTATTCCCATAGTCAGAGAGAGAGAGAGAGAAGTATCACTTTCATATTATTTCAGGATTTTTTTCTTTCTTTGCCTAATCCAAGAAGAAAATAAGCGTCACGATTTCAATCAAGTATATCAGGCAAAGAACGCCATTTATTAGTATTCGAAAGATATTTTCCTCTACTGACTTTTTAATCAAGCTTGCCACACTGATAATAGTGATCGTTTGTTCATTGTTTATTTATTCATGCGTAATGTGTATCAAAAGCTGGAAAAAACTTTGTCATGAACAAGAAGCTCTACGTATCTCAAATAAAAGACTAATTGTCTACTGTGATACAGTTATGTCGAAAACAGAGCTCAACATGCTTCTCATTTCGAGTTTCATAAAGAAATTGATTTGACTCTATACATTTGTGTCAACTAGTCTCGATAAAGATTTAGCTCAAAAAATTTTAATTAGGCCACAAACGACCTATGAAGTGAGCATTCTAGAAGAAATGCATTCGATTGCACAGCCAATATGTCAACGACATCATTTTCCAAAATATGTAAACATAGTGAAATGTAAGATGAACATGAGATTCTTATGATAATCGAAACTGTATTCGAATTAGAATCGATCAAAGAAAATCAAGGATATAGGATCAACATTGTCTAGCTGTTCACATTCGAGATCTTTTTGAAAATCTAACTATACGATTACAGTAATGACATGAAATAGTTTCGCATAAAACTAGTTTGATTTTCTGTATCTTCACCGAGATGCTTGTGCACAAATTAGTCTGGATATTAATATGAATGACACGATAATTTTTTTTGTTCTCTCTGAGTTATTCAAGTCGAAAGTATGAAGCAAAGTTGTTGATAAAAGAAAGAGAATGATATAAGTATGATATGAGTTTGTAATGTGAGTATACAAGTTGCAATATAAATAGGAATAACAAAAGAGTTTGTTTCGAAAAGAAAAAGGAATTGAGTTTGTCGTTAACATGGTGCTATCTCCATTTGTTCTTATCGGTTGGTTTGGACATGTAATAATATGTTATTGTTTGATTCGTCCTATTTGTAATACTTTAGTTCGAACTATTTTAACAATTATTCCATGTATATCATTTCCTTATAGTACTTGTCAAAATTTTCCTCAATATGATTCATTATCATTGATGATCCTAATTCTTTGTTGGATGATATCAATTCGTTTAATTCATTTGACAATATTTTCAATCGATAAATTCTTAACATTTCGGTCTTTTTTATTCAAAATTCTTTGGATTTTTTTGCCTATTTTACCTTTAAAATCAAAACGAGATGAATGGCCTATTAAATATTATTTGATATTAATTCCAGTTAAATTGTTAATAAATCATTGGAGTTATCGTTGGGCTATTAGTTGTGAAACACGATTTAATTATACAAGAATTTTTTTATTTTATTTATCATTGATAACAACCTCATATACTTTTGATTCACTAATCATTCTCGTTCGTATTTTCACTCGAGATAAATATACAGTTGAATGATTTACTAATTTTCCACTATTCAGTGTATCATTGCGAGAATTTTGGAGTCAAAGATACAATCGATTTATTGGGACTGTATTAAAAGAATCGATATTTGAACCGATTCATTCGAAATTTTCATCTTCGACAATTGAAGGTTTAACAACATTTATTATCAGTGGTCTTCTTCATGTTCATGTAGCTTTTGTTGCTTTTGATGATGTCTCAACTCTATTTCCAACATTTATATTTTTCTTTTTACATGGTATTGGTTGTTGTTTTGAAACAAAGATGAAGATTCAACTTCCGAAATACATTGGATGGATACTAACACATGCATTTCTTCTTCTCACAGCGCCATTGGTACTTGAACCATCCATAAAGAGAGGACCTCCATTATTAATACCAAATCCTCCACCGTTAGTTAATATCGAATGGATACCAAAATTACCCATACCCAACTTTTGTCCATAATGGCCTACATTAATTTATTTTTGAAAATGAAACAATAAAGATTTTCATTAATGAAGATCGATCCATCTTTCGAATAATAGTTCATTTTCTTATCGAGTATTGCCGCAATTGATCGACAGTTATTTTTCTTAGGAAATCTTCATTTAAATAATTATCGAAACGAAAATGAAAATTGTTGATTAATTTTCAACAGAGAAAATTAACGAAACATTTGTGAAACTATTGAAATATGAAAACAAATCTTTATGAGATTTGTACTTTGAGAGAAATTTTGTTAATAAAATATAAGACATCAAACAGTGGCGACGGTGCCTCAGTGAGTCGATCGAATAACGTCTCTAGACTCAAATCAATCCAAACTGACATATCGTTCGATAGCTATAGAATTTATCAGGGTGTGGGTGTGGGTGTGAGTGGATGTGGACGTGAGAGTCACTGTGGGTTGTCTCTTTCATCACATCCACGCACACCCCACCACAAAACCGTCGGAATAGCGCACATTATGCTGATCAGTATAGTGGCGATTTACTGACGGTAGTTATCACATGAACATCTCAGTGAGCAGTCAGTATTATTTTATTTAAATAATATTTTTTCTTCTTTTATTGAGATCATTTGACGGAAAAAGCGAACAGTGAGTATTGTTAATTAAAAATACTTTTTTTTTCTTTTTTTAATATCATCTGATCAGTTCATTGAAGAATGAGCATTATTTTATAAGAATAATTTTTTTTCTTCCATTTATATCATCTAATCATCTCAATAAAAAGTAAGTCTTTTTTTTACACAAAAATAATCTTTTTTCTTTGACTTTAGGTCATCTGACCACAAAAGTGAACAGTGAGTATTCTATTATAAAAATAAATTTCTTTTCTTTGATTTAGATCAGTCTCAATAACAAAACGAACAGTAAATAGTATTTTATTTAAAAAGAAACTTTTATAGTATTTACTGTGGATTAGGAGATAGAAATCATCCCTCTCCTCATTAGCCAGAAACGTGTATAATCCCGATAGTAAACGACAATAGCATACACATCGAGACATAGCCATAGTCGTAGATTCAAATACTACGATCAGGTCGGATCATCGAAAGTATTACAGGGTGCCCCATAAATAGTACCGCAATGGAAAAATGAAATATATCCGCATCGATTCAATCAAATGGACTAATTTTTTGGCTAATGGTAGAATGTCATTCAAAGTCTTTTTCATACGGATACAGCAGTATTCAGACTTTCAAAAAAGAAAATTTCAGAAGTTTCGGAAATTTCAAGTATTTGTGTTTCAAATCATTCCGCACTTCCGAAAATTATGTAATTTCAGAAATTTCCATGGCTCAGCACTTATGGAAATTGCCGAAATTACTGGAATTACTGAAATTCCTAAAGTTTTCAATGTTTCTGGAAACTTTTAATTTGCATTGCTATGTGACTATAGACCTGATGGAAATTTCAGAAATTTTGGCAATTTCTTTTTTCGGAAATCTGAACATACCTCATGGATCTGCAATCCATTGGTCGAGCTTGTCATAACATCCCTGCGCACCTGATCCCATGCTCTTGAACGAATTTCGATAGCAGCAGTGAGCACCAATATGTAACGAGCAAGTGCTTGGCTGTGTCGAAGCAACACATCCAGGATCCATTATCCAACCGCTGCTCAACGTTTTAGGGAACGATGTTGGCACGTGACAAAGTGGTTTCAGTGTACTGGCCAAAAGCGCATCAGGATCACCTTGTAAATGATATCATACGAAGCAGTCAGCCAGGCCATGACTGGACATCGACTGCTCATAGACACCCTCGTTGTTGTTTTCCAATTCGAAACCATCAATCGATATCACTAGCAGGAGTGCGATAAAAAGATTGGCTGTCGAATGCATTCTTAGTCCTGAAAAATCAGAGATACGCGAATGCAATTACAAAATGTAATGCAAAAAAAGGCTGACATCCCACAGCATAAATAATAATTCTGGCATCGCATATACCGCCATGTCACGATTTGTAAAACCTTGTAATGACATATATTCCTATTAGAGATGTGCGAGACTAATCTCGATTCTGACCCTGGCCACCAGAGCTGGAGCAGGGACCACGAGAAAAAAATGCCGGTACCGGAACTCAAGTTTATAATAAAATATTCTATGGTTTTAAATAAATTATCTCATAAATCATATGAATCAGAACATATTCAAGAGAGATAATTCAAAAACGTGCTAATTGTCAACTAAATAAATCAAGAAAAACGAGTATTGAGGAATTATTTTAGATTAGATACGAATAAATTTTGGAATAGTTTTCTCTTGACCGAAACTATCGCCGGGACCTGAAAAACCAACATCACGGGGATCGGAATCGTGCTAAGAGAAAAAAATTTACCCCTACCGTGACCAAAAAGACTTGATCCTGCGCATCTCTAATACCAATACATGTGTTACAATAACAACATATATACTTCTGAAAAACCTAGAATTCTAGAACTCATGTGATGAAATGTAATCGTATGTAATCAGCTACTACAATGCCCTGTGTGTGTTTTCGCATGTGTCTGTGTTGCCACCCTCATTTTCAAGACTGCACACCATTACAAGTTATTATGTGGTATTATATGAATTCTAGAATTCTAGGTTTTTCAAGGGTATATATGTTGTTATGGTAAGGGTGTGCGTGTGAGCGTTAATCTTATCTCAATTCACACCTCACACCTTCTCCCACTCACATCCACATCAACACTCTCACGATAAACATTCACCAAGTCGTTTTCTTTCTTTCTTTCTTCTTTTATGTTGCAGTTTATCGCGCATGTCAAAGCAGTGCTCTCCATCTCTTTCTGATAACGACACGTGTGTGGAGAACAGTTGTATCGGCGGCGCCTTTTCTCCTCTTTCTGTCATTGTCGAACATTGTGAATGTGCTTGAAGTGCAGTGTGCGTCTTTGATAGGCTTTTAAATAATTTTAGGTAACTCATAGTTAGGACGATTTAAATTGTTTTTCTAGTCCAATGTCGACGGTCACCCTCGTCTATTCACGAGTTGATGACTTAGCAATACGGTTGGATATTGACTTTCCAACAGCACATGAAGAACTTACCAATATGGCGGTTCCTGCTTTTGTCTTCTTCCATGGTGGCGGATTGATCGGAGGAAACAGACAATCGTTTGTTCCAATGCGGCTGAAGCGTAAGTCGATTCTGTTTAAGAATATTTCATCGTTTTCGACCAAACATTTGAGAAAAACTGGAAACAGAATTTTTGCCAATTTAAGCTGAAGAAAAATAATTTCTAGAATCAGCTACATCTGTAGAACAGACAAAGCTGCATAGAGCAAAATCTCATGGCATCTGCCTGGTGAAATCCGAACGCTACAGAAAAAATCACTGCAAACGGCATGTTTTTTGAAGCATCCAAGAACGATTTTGAGTGCCTGTCTATCTAACGAAACCTGTTATGATTTATCCATCTTCACTGACGGACACAGCGAAAGTCTAACTTCAAAAACTCGTGTTTTTCAATAACTTCTTCAGAAATTTCTTTAGATCTAGTGCTTCGTCGAATATTTTTCTCATTTCTGCATCTCGTATATGTCCCGAACAACATATATTTTAGTGATTCAATGTCCGACAAAAAAATGACAAAACGATTCACGGTGATGAATCGCTATCGTAGGTGTATATACAGGAAAGGCCTTATGAAGTTTCAATGGGAGCAAATAGGTTCAATATGAATATTTCTTTGTCATTCTCCTTTTTTCTCCAATGTCATACAATCGAATTAAATCATGATCAATAGACTGATGTTTTTTGTATTCGCTATATATCAGTGCAGACTTTGGTTTCGAACACCTTACCTCGCTTACTTTTAGTGGAGTTTCATGGAAGATTTTTATAATAATTTTTTCGTAAACACAAAATATGTAAATCATTACCATTTGCAGCGAGCTCCAAGAAATTATGCTGAGATTGATTAATGTTTTGAAAAATTATTGGAAGGAAATAAGGTACTAGAAACCATCATCAGGACAGGGCTTCCCTGATGTCCTGACGCCCGGTTCTGCCCTGTCCTAAAGGGCAAAGATTTTTTTTTGCCCTGGTAAATTATTTACCAACCATCAAGTTATAGGTGTTTTCTTAAGCAAAATTTTTAATCTTTTGTACAATTACGTGAGACATCGTTATAAGCTACCCACGTTTACATTTCGTCTACTATATCTCTTAGCAACAAACTTTATGTTTCGGTATTGATTATCTTTTGTTTCCCGTGAATAGAATAAAGACCGTCATCAATACAGAGTGCTCTGATGCCTTGCTATCCTAGCCTCAGAGCAGAGCGAAATAATCTGCCCTGGTAACATTTTTTTAAAAAGTCATTTGAAATCGTTTCCTAAATCCAGACATGAATCTTTCAGAACATTTGTCATCTATGTAATTCTACCAACTAGTGCTGGTTTTATGTTTAGATCGGTTTCACTAGAGTTTGTGCGTATGATACTCATTCTAATCTAATTCATCATCGTTCAATACGATCTTTTTTGATTTCGAAGAGATTGAACATCTCTTATCAAATCATAAAAAAATGAATCTCGACCTGGTGCTAAATAGTGATGAAAGACTTCGAATCAATTAAATGATGATACTTAGTCACATAGAATCGTAGTTTTCATTGACGGATATTTTGTTTTTGTATGAATATGCTTCTAGTATCATGTACTCATGCTAAAAAACGGCAAGATATTGTATTCACAAGTATTATTTCTTCATCAAGAATAAATTGAAATGATATCATTTTTACTCGATTATAATCTGACTTTTAGTCGTCAAGGTTGATTGTTTTTATTGTTAAGCGTTTTCTTTTGAATTTCTTCTAATCTACCAAAAAGATTTGTCAATTTCTATCAAATTAAAATTTATTAATGAGTTTCACCCGAAAAAAAAATTTGAAAATTCCTAGAAATTAGAATAAAACGAAATATAAGTTTAAAATCAGATTATAATTGATTAAAAATTGCACAAGTTCAATCGATTTTTGGCGGGATTCATGATTGTTTTTACACGTGGATAATATTCTTTTGAAATTATATAAAAAAAGTATGAGCACTGATATAAGCAAGAACAAAATTTTTCATAAGGTTAACACCCCATTCCATAGTCGAGCTCAGTTTATATGCCCCGAGAGCGTCCTTCCCTGCCCTGAGGACAGGGTTGGACGAAAAAATTTTGTATGAGCTATTTTCCGGGCAGGGCACAGGGCACGGCAGAGCAAAAAAAGTGCCCTGTGACAGTCTCTGTAAGGTACTGCTTCTTTAACATCTGAACCATGAGAACTGATCACCTCCGAAACGAAATGAAATTTGACAAGAAGCCTCTAATGTGTGTTGAATTGGAGTCCTACACTTGAAATTTTGTATCGAGCTCAGAGAATGCATGAACTGAACGTAAACTGATTTATTTGGTAGGAGACATTCTCGCCAGCGGTTGGGCCTTTATATCCGCTGACTATCGACTGCTGATACCATGTACTGGCTATGATATTCTCGCCGATGTTAATAGTTTGTTCGCGTATCTTGCCTCTGACCAGTTAAACAGAGATTTGGACAATACATCACATCGTCTCGATCCTTCTCGTCTAGCCGTTGGTGGTGCCAGCGCAGGTGCCTACGTGGCCTATCTCGCTGGCATTCATGCCAGACCCAAGCCAAGAGCTGTCTTCGGTCTCTACGGCATTGGCGGTCGTATGATCTCTTCTCATTATTATTCCATAAAATCGCCGATGACAGTGAATGTGGCCGACTTTCGCCACTATCTCAATCCGATCGACGATGACAAGGAACTTCTTCGTCCAACCAGTGATGCTCCACTTGCTTGGCCAATTCCTGAGGAAAGTGAAAAGGCTCGAACGAGCGGTGCTCTCTTTCAAGTATTTATTGAAACAGGCACCTTTCTCGACTTCCTCACGGGTATCCGAGGCTTCTCAGAGTCTCTTCGATCATCATCATCATCTTTCGACTACGAGACGCAGGTGAAAATCCCAGATGAAGTGCGATGTCTGTTTCCAGAACTTCATGTTGCGGCCTTTCCTCCAACCTATCTAGTACATGGAACGGCCGATCAAGTAGCTCTTGTCGAAGAATCCAAGTTTCTGGCACAACAACTCGAATTGAATCATATTCCTCACGTTCTTGCGCTGGCTGAAGATCGTGGTCATGGTTTCAATGCGGAAGCTGATGCTGACGAGGTGTACGACAAGTATATTAAGGATGTTATCCCATTTTTCCTCAAACATGTCAATAATATTTCGTTGAAATAAGCCAGTTTTATTCATAATAGTTACATCGAAATTATAATATATTTAACTCTTGTACTACCAAGCCTATTTTAGGCATGACATGATAATACATTTTTATTTTGTGATTTTTTCGTCATGAAACCGATATGTTTGTCCAAGTTACACTATTTTCTATTCGGTTAGAGGATAAAACGATTGAGAAAAGTGTTATGTATTTATTTCGAACAAGTGATACAAAAGAGTCGTTTCACACAATGCTCATTACAGATGGGTTCGGAACATTTATAATACTTGTTCAGAGTCTTTCTGTCTTTGGTACGGTCACAAAGTGAACATCGTTTTCTTTTTAAGTTCGTGGAGGTTTCATTTAATTCTTGTGATGTTTTCTCCACCTTAGGATAATCCACAACAGGGTGTGGGTGTGAGTGTGAGTAAAGGGAGGATTAGAACCCACACCCACACCCATGACTTCAAGGATTATTTAAGACACATCAGGCATTTCTTGTCCATATAGAAATTTTTCAGTTCTCACCTATTTTTTATTTTTCGTTGCTTTTCTTAAGGATTATTTTTGTGACTTATTTATACATCCACATCGAAGTAGTTTTGCGAATAAGTATCCAGCGAGTAACTGTCCTAAACTCATCTTTCCTATCGAGGTGCTCGTGATTTTACAGATGGCCAATTAAGAGTGATTTTCACACATTATCAAGTTTTTCGAAATCGAATTCACAAGAATCTCCTCGTTCATTTTTAAAGCTATGGGCACGTTTGTAAACACGTGATGGTTGTATTTATATACTTTAAGGGCAAATAACCGAAAGAGAGAATGTCCTATCACTAACATGCAAAACAACTGAGTGAAAAAAAAGAACAAACTTATATGTGTATAGATAAGGAAAAAAGACCAGAGAACATCTATTGATATCTGATTCAAATAAAAAGATAAGTTTAAGCTTCTTTTTTATATGTTGGCACTCTGATGCACATGTCAGATTAAATTGCAATCCATTTTAACTCTTATATTTATTTGAAACTTTTTTGATCAATAATCTTCATTGTCAAGAAGGCACTAGATTATAATTCTACTTGCAGGTAATTAAAGTAACAATGAACCATTTGACTTTCAAAGGACAACTATTGATTTCAAGAACAATATCGAGTGCCTTTTTTTTGTGTTCTGACCTTGACATTTAACGTAATCCACATGTATCCAAAGAAAAATACGAAATGTAAGTTTAAATTAAGGTTTTCCGATCTTCTCCTAATTCCAGTAATCGATGTGAAAAGTTAAAGATAAAATCTAAATCTCTAAATAGTTTTCTAGAAATTGAGATCAATGAGTACGATACTCCTTAGATCTCATAGTAATAAAAGAAAAGATGCCAGTTAACAATGAAACTTAATCTTCAAACATTTTAAAACGTCTCAAATTCTCTTCAAGCATATTTTAAACTTTAATTGGACATAATACGGTTTTGAATGTGCTAAATAATTAATTTGCTTTACTTTTGACTAGTTATGCGAGAACTCCCGTTCGGGTAATTGAACTGGTATGAACAAACTAGTTCTTATAATTACGATGATATCGGATCATCAATAAGTTAATTCATGTGATAAAAACTGATCAATGGTTTCAGTTCTTGAAAAACAAAGAATTAATTTCTGATTCGATTCTTTCGATTCGTAGAACTAGCAACTGATTCAAGTCTAATTTGGATGTGCTGAAATAATTCTATAATAGATGCCACACAATTCGCAACTCCATCAGCACATAAACTATGAATTAATTGTGTTCTAACTTTTATCGTATGCCTGTAGGAATGTTTGAGCGGTGATCAAAATGTAGACAAGAGTGTACGGTAGTGCGGCTATTAAATCTATGAAAAGATATATTACCAGAATAATAAAATAGAAAAAACGAAATAAAAGCAACAAAGAATAGACAAAAACTTCTAAACAATAAGTAATAAGAAAAACAATTCGCATTCTCACTGTAGAAATCAATCAGACCGAATCTTTTTGTTGATGGTTAATTAATACTTGAGAGTAATTATCATCTATTACAAATTGATCACGTTACATATTTTCTATCAGTATAATATAGCTGAACAAGATGTATGAATTATATATATATATATGACTCCGTTAAGGATCATACAGATAAATTTTTTTTTATTATGATCCGTAAAGTTAAGATAATAATAATTTCACAACTTCTTCTGTTCTTTTGTGAAACACGATCTGAAAGAAGTGTTGAAGTATATAGGGTGGAACTGTGGGCCCACCCCTTTCCGTTCTCCACAGACCATGACAGGCAGGCTCCGGACCCATCATAGACTGTAACAGATACCTTTCATAGATCGTCACAACAGCTGATGATTGTCTTCAAGAGACAATCAGATGTTATGTACAACTAACATCTAGTTAGAGTATTCATGAAGTATTTTCTTTATGAAGTTCTACTCTGTAAATTTAGCAATGCTGATGGAATACGCCCAGTATACATAAAGAAGAGCCGTTTTTTAGGAAATTAGTAACAGTAGGTATATCGTGTTTCACAATTTAATCCCGCAGGAATTGCGCTAACAGCTTTTTTTTTGCTAATTGAAATTTATGTATTGTCATTCTCTTGTTGAAATTCATTTTAATAATAAACAAATCCTGAATGTTAAATCTGTCTTTGCTAGTTTTTAGATACTCTTATAAAATAATTTTTCTTCGAATTTGATGTTTTCTTCAACATCATAAAATATGTTAAAACCGAAACGTGATAATACTATCGTTATCATGTGTACATCATTATTATCTTTTTCTTAAAGCTCATTATTTTCTAACCTATTCAAGTTTTGCTGCAATTGGTCCAATTTTGAATATAACTCTTCGAAATCGTGGTCTTTCAGATATAGAAATATCATGTATTAATTTAATTAATCCATTTTTGATCTTCTTTACTAATCCATTATTGGCATTTTTCGCAGATCATATACGTCGCTTTCGTCTTACATTCAATATTATTTTGTGTTTGATAACTATTGTTTTTAGTATTATATTTTTTTTACCAACTCTCAAATCATATTCAATTCAAGGTGAAATTTATCAAATTGATACTATGAAATATTCATTGACATTTTGTGCAAATAAAGAATTTTCTACTAAATGTGCATTAAGAACTCGTTGTGGATGTACTTATCAAGCCTATTGTAGATTGTTAACAATGGAGAAAATTTATTTCAATAAGAGTATACCAATCAAAACATTTCATTTTAATTTTACTATGAATTCAACGTATGTAGACAAACAATATAAAAATGTATCTATACGCAGTAATAAACTTCGGATATGTAGTGCCATCAATTATCATGTATCAATCGATAAAGATACAAACGATGAAATTAGAGGTAAATTAACAGTATTTTACATTGATTTAAGTCAGTTTAGTAGAAATATCAAATTTAGAAAATTTGATTGTAAAATTCTTTTTAAAATTTAGAATATTTTTCTTAAAATAACAACAACAGGAAAATTATTGAACTTGAGAAAACTTCAAACATTTTATAAACTTTAGTACTATAGTATAAAGAATTATTAGATATTTTCTTCTGTACGATTTATTATTAGACAAATTAATCAATTATAATTGTAAAAAGCTTGTTGGCGTATATCCTTTGGAACTGAAATATGAAACTCACATATGTTCTCTAGCCTCATTATACTAATATAAAAAATATGTCAAGTAAAAAAGTTCTCGTAGACTATAGTTATTTCGCAGGATAATCAAACATTCATTAGGGTGTGGGTGTAGGTGTAGGTCTTCTCTTCATCCACATCTACACCAATGTATTCATTACAATTGGTCGAACAAAAACTCAATGTAAACTTCTTTGAAACATCATGACATTATTCTTTTTTATGTAAAACATAATCTTTTTTTTGTTGTTGTTCTTTTCAGATCTATTTGACAATAGTAGTGCATTGTCATCGAGTGAATATTTCAAATTGGCTACATGTGATATAAAATGTTCAATAGATCATCTCTGTCATGGATCACGTTATTCTCACCAAATTCTATATCTTCTTTTGTATTCATTTTTAATGATTATTGGTCTTAATCTTTTTGCATTGGCTACAACACTTGGTACTACAATTGCATTTTCTACTTTACATCATTCGAATCTATTTGGTCGACAACGTGCTTGGGGTACAATTGGTTCGGGTATATCTGCATTTTTTGTTAGTCGTCTTTATGTACATTTTAAAACCAAATATGTATACTTAATTACATTCATCGCTTGTAGTTTTCTCAGTATTATCAGTACAAGTTTCATTCGTATTCGATCTGATAAATGTAAACGAGTTGAACCAATTAATGACGATACGTATGTTAGAGAAAAATCAAACGAATTTTCTCTCGATAAAAATCAAAGTGAAGAAAAGAAAAACAAAAAAGATTCGTCGAAGATTTTTGCACTTTTACCATTGTTCAAGAATATTCATGTGATTGTGTTCCTTTTGACGATATTTTTTTGGGGAACATCTTTTGGTGCTCTTGATCCAGTAAGTATTTAATCTTTTATTCTCTTAGACATGATCGAACACTTTCAATAGATTAGAAGTTTTCTTAGTTGAAAAGATTCTTCTTTTACTTTCCGATAAGTAAACGAGTGAACATGAAAACATCATTAGAATGATTTTTTCTCATGTTTTGAGTCGTCGAGGCAAAGAATTTCTAAGTCAATTTACGATATATTCAATGCATGCTAAATAACGACATTGATTCTGCCAATGAGGACTTCCGAGAAGTTTTACCCATTCTGAAAGATGTTGATAAAGTTTTCGACTATAGTCATTAGACTAATTATGCTTATTCTCATTTTTTTAAAAGTAATCTAAGTATACAATATCAAAATTGACGAAATATTAGTTGAAGACACAGAGAACATCACAGGACACAGGATCTGCACTGTAGCTAACCTATCCAATTTCGACTTTCTATCTCCAGATATAAATATAAGAAAGACTAGCGATAGCCCGTGCATACTGCACGGCAGCGTTTTTTCTTTAACATACGACTTCTAAACTTTAACGTTTCACTCGGTAACAGATACACAAACACTCGACATTATGTACATAGAAGCCCTACGGTGTGATATCCTTATACCACTAATAGCTCTTGTAGCCTTATGCGCTTATAACTTTGCCCTTTATAGACCAAGCCCTTCAGAGCATCTCCGCCTTATAACGTTCCTTCCTTATAGTCTGACTTCCTCGTTGCCTTACGTCTGTATATCGTTATCCCTTAATACCCTTACCCTTTGTCGTCTTACTTCCTTGTATCCTTATTTGAGCATTGATATTTAACCTTTGACTCGGCACAGACACTCACAGACAGACAGACATTGAACATTATATATACAGATGATTACCTCTTTCATAAGAATGTTTTGAATGTTCATATCTCAGAGTAGGAAATACAAGAATCAGTTAAAATTTCCTTGTACTATTTTAAAATAATGAAATTCAAAGAAAAAAAAAGTGACTAAAATCTACTCTATTATTCTATAATATGACATTCTATTCCGAATCACTGCAAGTGTACTTTTACTCATTAGCTATCTTTAAAAATACAAGACTATCAATATTACAGTTACTAGAATCAAGAAGATTTGAAATAATTCACTGATTGTAAAGTATATATGAAATATATTTTAGTATTTAATGTTGTATATTGATGAAATTGATCCATGTAAATCTCATTCCATAGCCGGATATATACTTCAAGGCATAGTTTACGGTATTTGTTTTGGTTTAGGTATCGTATTGTATTGACTTCTTCAATGCCAATTATCTTGTTTTTTTTCATTATGACATAGGTCGTGGCATTGGTATGCTTATTTCATTATTCATTTATACACGAATGAAAAAACGACATCTCTTTCTAATTTATGCTGTATTCAATATAGTCAATGCCATCATTTATTCAGTCTATTATCTATTGATTAAACGACGAAAATCATTTCGAATCGATTGTGATGACATTCCCGAAAGTGTTTCAATTGAATCTGGTAAATTAGTTTTAGAAAATAAATAGATATGAAACGTAATTTGTCTTGTAGAAACAAATCTTAATGGACAACGTTTGGTATCACTGTCGTCATTGTCAAGAAAAATAAAAAATAATATAAAATTTTAGTAAAAGATTTCTCTTTGATTTGAATATACTCTATTCAAATATTCAAGCAAATTTTAATTGACGACTAATTGTCAGAAGCATGAAACCTTTTTTTGTTAGTTTTAATCAATTTAATGAAAATCAAATAAGATGAAATATTTTCCATCTTATTTATTAGTGAATACAGTAAAACCTCCCTAAAGTGAACACTAATGGGACTGGTTAAAACATGTTCACTATAGGAGGTGTTCACTATATAGAGGTGTCATAATGAATAAACTATTACATGTATACTGTGTATGATGAGTGTTACATGTTGATGAGTACGCACGTTTTTTGTTAGAATTTCCTCTGATTACTTAGTGCATAGAATAAAAAAATCATTTCTTCAATTTATGACATATATTTATTTCAAATTTTATAAAACAAAATAACAAAAAAAATATTTCTTTTATAGATTATACATTTTTATTTAATTTTTACAAAAGAAATCATCAATCTTAGTTTGTTTCGCACCTTTGGAATCGATAAAGAGTTGAGTCAGTTGTGAATCTAATTGAGAAATAAGTGAATGTAATTCTGGATATTGAGTAGAAGCCAGAAGGTGTAACTTTTTAGCCATTTCCATTGCATCGATGAGTTTTGGTGGTGCTTCAGTTAGTATATCATCATCCTGATCATTATTATTATGTTTTTTATTGACATATTCTTCATCGACGATGATTACATCATTGTCAGATTCATTCCATTCATTGAAAGTTGGTGTATCTAAGTCCATTTCGACGAATTCACTTGCTGAAAGACTTTGTCCATCAGTATGAATATGAGCAAGAAGAGTATCAAGATCTTTTAATGCTGTTGTAATATCATCAATAATAGTTTCTTCATTTGTATCATTTTCATTGTCGATTGTACCACTAATAGTATCTTGAGTATTTGGATGAACGAAGCCTGCCATACGAAATGTGTTGCGGATTGTTAATTGAGTGACACTTTCCCAAGCATTTTTTGTCCAAGTTACGGCATCAAGAGCAGTAATAATAATGTCATCTGGTGATGTAGCAAGGGCACAACGTGATATTACATGCTTCACAAGATGTTGACCTAAATGAAGTCAGTTATATTTTTCAAAATGTCGAAAAACAGAATACTTACGATAATAACACTTGAAATTCTTGATTATACCTTGGTCAAGTGGTTGTAGCTTCGATGTTGTGTTTGGAGGAAAGAATTTAACAAATATGTTGGAATATTCAACGTCGGGATTATGACATGGTGCATGGTCCATAAACAATAAAATTTTACGCTTTTGTTTAATCATACTTTTGTTCACGGTAATCAGCCAGTCTTCAAAGAGGCTGGCTGTCATCCAGCTGCTACGATTTGATCGCCAGGTAATAGGTAAGTTTTTCACATTTAAATTCTTGAAGCATCGTGGATTAGCAGATTTACCCAAAACGGAAACATTAACATTTATTATAAGGAAAGACTAAACAGAAAATGCAGAACTGACCGATCATAAGCGGTTTTAATTTGTCTGTACCTGTCATATTGGTACACAGCAAAACTGTAAAACGTTCTTTGGACCGTTTCCCGCCTTTGCAAGAATCTTTGGCCGTAACAAGCGAACGATTTGGTAGTGCTTTGAAGAATAATCCAGTTTCGTCTGCATTATAAATATCATTGGGATTATATTTGTCAACCATTACCACCAGGCGCTTTTTCCACTAGTCAACAGTTGCAGGATCGACTGATGCTGATTCACCATTGATAGTTCGATATTGTATACCATGACGTTTGCGAAACTTTTCTAGCCAACCATTGCTTGCTTTGAAATCGTCAGCATTTGAACCACCTAGTTGTTGACGAATTTGTCTTGCTTGCTCTTGCAAAAGAGGACCCGAGATAGGAATATTCTTACTGCGTTGTTGTACAAACCATTCATATACTTTCTGATCTAGTTGTTGATTGAATTCATCACGTAGATTACGCTTCTTGTTTGAGTTTTCATTTTGTTCATAATTCTCAATGTACTCAACTTTGCGCTTAACAATATTTGAAACACTTCCGATCGAGATTTTGTACTCACCAGCCAATTTACGGTACGGTACATTTTGTTCGTTTTTACGAATCAACTCTACTTTTTCAGCAAGTGTTAAATCGCGTCTTGCTGCCATCTTACAAGTGTGAATAGAAAGGAGTGATATTCTTACAGACACAGACGACCAATTCGTTATTGCCTATTCATTCTTATTGTTCTTTTTGTTCAATACATGCGACATATCAATTAGAGATGAACTTTTGACTATCATTCATCTTTTATTTTTTGCATGCGACCATTTTTTTTATAAAAAGTAGACCGTCAATAAATTTAGCGGTCATTGCTTCGAAATGTACAATATTTGTCCTCGATTTTTATCTTCTCAAGCGCATATTTTCTTGTACATATGTTCACTATATAGAGGTTTTTTTACTATTGGGACCAAAAAAAAGTGTTCACTGTTCAGAGTTGGGAGGTGTTCACTATACAGAGGTCTATTTACAGCAAAAATCGATCGGGCGGTTCAGATTATCCGTTCAGACGAGAGGTGTTCACTATATAGAGGTGTTCACTATGGGAGGTTTTACTGTATTCTTAATTTAAACATTGTCTTAACTTTCTTCTTTTTTTTGCTTTAGTATCTTAATAAAATCTTTTAAGCTCGCATTATGAAAATAAGAAAATAAGAAATCATTTTAAAACTGTTTTCTATTCCAGATCAATGAAATATTGAATTTTATTCGATTAAATCTTGCCTTATAGAAATATTTGAAATGTGATCCAAATTGAATTTGATAAAAATATTTACGAATTCGATATGAATGACAAAAAAAAATAGAAAAAGCTATCAAAAGAGATTATTTATTCTAATCATTGATTGCTAGGGATATTACATTATCTCAAAAAGTTGAATGATAATTTATCCGGAATAATTTCTACCAGACTCAAACTAAAATTATTTCATCACTTTTCAGTGTATATTAAAATTAATTTACAGTGAAAAATTCCAAGCAAAATAGTTCAAATTTGGCTGTTAATGAAAAGGAGTACCATCAATTGTTACTTAAAACACTTATTATAGTTATGTTTAATTAAATAGCTTAGATTTTTCAGTCAAATATGATGAACGCGACCTATGTACTAATGAGTTTTGAATAAGTTTGTTGTCTTCATTGGCTTTTCTTAATTAATTGTTTGATTAATTATGGATTTGTCAAGAAAGAACATACGTAAGATGTAAGGAAAAAGTTTATAAATAAAGTAGTTTTAACTTTTTCGTTAATGATAATACCTAGAACAAATCGGAGAAAAGATTTAATTAGCTGAAACGATTTCCTATCAGAAGAGTACTCAACAAAGTCCTATTGACATATTTGGAGAGAAGGTCTCCTTAAAAGTCAAGACTCCAAAACCAATTGTCTGGATTCTATTAAGAAACGTTTTACGAACAGGTTCATCTGATAAAAAAAAAGATTTCTGAGCAAAATAAGGTTTCGCCAACCTCTGCATGATCTATTTTCGTTGAACGACGCTAATTCTTCAATAGGCCTAAAAAACTATCTTCCGTTACTTTCATGAAAGTTTCTGTGAATTTACTGTGAGTCATACTATGGTACTTTTCGTAGAATGAGTGAAGTTTCATGGAGATAGGTTATGGAGAGCGCCGTAACGAGGATGTGGGGTGTGGTGTAAGTATTAATATTCTCTTCACTCACACTGACTCCTACATCCACATTCACCATTGGAAACACTCAATTCAACGCCAATAAAAATACGAGCGTCCATGAATATGACTATGACAATATCTACTACTGGCATCAACAACTTGAGAAAGTTACATAAATAGCTAGGGTATAAGAGATGGTTAAATGTAAAATAGTCACTGGAGTGACCATGGGGAGGGGAGGCGGAAATGATATGAGAAGATCACTTTTTGGTACATATTATTTTATTGTATTTTAATACAATAGCTGTTGACTACGTATGAAGCATATTTTCGTAACTGAAAATAGTCAAAATGAGAGCAAGACGTGGACGAGCATTGATATCATCGTGGCGATATTCGCATCCACATTCCATATTTAGGTCTAAAACAGAAAAATGTGAATCACAAAGAGTTAGT